AGGCAGCTGATACAGGATGAGTTCATCTGACAAACTGCAGGTTTCTCACCTGTAACATGGGATAGCACTAAAGACGGACAAAATGGTGTCCTGCTTGGGGCAAGTGTTCAAACGTGTCTCAAAATCTAAGATCTCAGGGGCTGGAGAACTGGCTTGGGGGTTAAGAGCACTTGTGGCCCCTTCAGAGGACCTAGGCTTTGGTTCCCAGCACTCACACGGTTGCCCACACTCATCCCTAACTCCCGTTCAAGGACATGACCTCTGTGGGCACCAGGCATGCACGTGGAACACATACATCTATGCAGGCAAAGCACTCGCACACGTAAAAATAAATCTTTAAACACAACTGGGGACTAGAGAGATGGGCCATGGGGTAAGGGCATTGTTGCTCTTATAGATGACCCAGGGTCAGTGCCCATTACCCACATGGCATTTCACAACCATCAGTAACTCCAGTTCCAGGGAATCCAACCCTCTTGGCCTCCTTGGGCACCAAGCATACACATGGTGCACAAATATATACATGGGCAAGCATTCACATGTAAAAGAAATAAATCTATTTTTTTTAACTGTGCTATACATTTTTCTCTGCTCCCCTCTCTCCTTCTACTCTCTCTTGTGACCCCCACACTATATTTAGTAAGGCCATGAATTTGGGAGTATGGGGCAAAGGAGGAATTGGAGGGGGATGAAAGAAGTTGGAGGGAAGGGCAAAGCTTATGTAAACAAATACAGTACTTATGTATGAGGTTCTCAAAAAAACATTTTATTAGATTGATTTTTTTACATTTCCAGGATGTGTTAACTAATTACATTCCGGATTGCCCCTCATCCCTGCCAGTAGTCATTTCCCAATCTGGAGCCTCTAGCTGAGACTTGTAGAGGAAGGTACTTGCTAATCAGGATTCTAGATCTAAGTCTTCGATTATGGTTCACTGTGTTTCCTTCGGCCAGCCTTGACTTCTTCATTTGGTAAATAGGTGTGGCTGTCACATAATTAGCATCAGTACAGCACCAGTAATAAAGTCCAATTGGATGGTGCCACAAAAATAAAATAAAAAATAAATCTAATTAAAAAAAAAACTTAAGGTTGCACGGCTGGGTAGATAGTTCAGTGGGTAAGAGAAATTGTTCTGCAAGCACAAGTAACTGAGCACAAGACTCTTAGTCTCAGGGTTGTCGGTTTGAGCCCCATGTGGGCACCATTTTGTAAACAGACTGCTCTTTTGTTGCCAAGCACCCAGACCCGAAAAATAACACAAAAACTATATTAATTACAACACTGCTTAGCCTGTTAGCTCAGGCTTCTTACTAACTCTTACATCTTAAATTAACCCATTTCTCTTTACCTGTGTGTATCGGCATGAGGCTATGGCTTATTGGTAAGAGTCCAGCGTCTGACTCCTTCAGCAGCTACAGGATGTCTCCCTGATTCCACCTACTCTTTCTCTACATCTCTGTTCAGATTTCCTGCCTGGCCTTGCTCTGCTAAGCCATTGGCTAAAACAGCTTTATTCATCAACCAATAAAAGCAACACATATACAGGACATCCCACATCAGTTTGAATTTCCAGCACCCACTTAAAAAGTTGCACGGTCATGCGTGACTGTGGCCCCAGCCTTGGGGAAGCCAGACAGGAGACCAAAGGAGCTCAGGCAGCCTGTCTGCAAGGTTGAGCTTCTGGTTCAGTGAGAGACACTGTTTCGAGGCAAATGTGACGAAAATAGGGCAACATACTTAACACTGCATTTTGGAGCTAGTAAATTATTTAATTAGTACTCAGCTAAAAAACTAATCTCTAAAGCAGACCACAAAGCAAATAATAACTCTAAATGATGAAAAAAACAAGAATATAAAACTATTACTTATTATAAATTTAAAAAGGAAATCCTTTTAGCCATTATTTCCTAAGTGAATACTAATTTAACAATTTTATTAAAATATTCATTCTGGGAAAAGCACACCTAGCTTTTGAAATGAGACATCAGTTTAAACTCTGACCGCCGTACTGTATGTGGCTAACCTGGCAGGTTGTCCAAACTCACCAATGTCTTCCTTCTCTAAAACCACTGCCAGCATCCGGTCTTAAATCAGTGACTGTCCTAGTTCCATTTCTGTCACTGTGATAAAATACTCTGACATAAAGCAAGGGTCACAACCCACCATTGTCGGGAAGTCACAGGAGCAGGGGCTCGAGAGTCAAGAGCAGAGAGAAAATAAATGCATGAAAGCTGTCCCCTTACTTTCTCTACTTTATACATTCAGAACCCAGACCACAAAATGCTGCTACCCACATCAGGATGGACCTCTACCCCAACCCAATTAAGAAAAAAAAATCAATTAGGAAAAAACAAAACCCCTCACAAGCATGTTCTCAAGCCAACATGATCTAGGCAGTCCCTCATGTTCTCAAGCCAACGCAATCCAGGCAGTCCCTCATCGGGATATGCGTGTTCCCAGGCCAACGTGACCCAGGCAATCCCTCACTGGAACAAGCATGTTCCCAAGCCAACAAGATCCAGGCAGTCCCTCATTGGGCCTCCCTCCCCAAGTGATTCTATACTGTGGCATGTTGATAATTAAAAGGAACCACCATAGTCATAATATCTAATGAATTAACATGTTTGTGAAATGTCAACATTGGGGAATTATGACAATATTACATAACTGTGTCCACTGATATAATTGCCAACAAAAGGTAACTATAACTTTTCAAAAACAGCTGTTAAACAACATAAAACATCACTAAACAGTCGTACAGCATTATAGCCAATTAAAAATGTTTATTACTTTTCCTCGGGGTGGGGCAAGGCGGGCAAGCATAGGCCATGTGTGGAGGTCAAAGGGCCACGTTCAGACAGCGGTTCTCCCCTTCCACCATGTGGGTTCTGGAGAACCAATTCAGGTTGTCAGGTTTGGCAGCTGGCATCTTTTCCCACTGAGCCATCTTGACGATTCTACAAACAATTTCGGACCATGCTAACTAAATTACGCAGCAGAGTTGAAAACAGCAATTTATTTCCGGCTTTGAAATACAACTTTTTTTTTGCAGCAAATTAAATATGTCTAGATGAAAAGTACACATAACAAAACCAAAAATGCTGGCTATGTTCAAAGCAATTGTGTAAGAATATGCTCTTTTTCCAAACAAGGACTTACGGTAATGGTACGGTCTATATGATATATACACAGTATCAGGCTACATGGCGAGGTTCGTGTTGATCTTGCTGTGGTCTGCCTAGTGTCAGTCAAGTGTGTACACACTAGTACCTAGCAAACTTCTGTTCCACTGTAGTCCACATACACCCACTTAAGATTATTCCAGAGAAGTGATTGGATGCCACAACAATCACACACAGTAACAAAGGAGCTCCCCTGAGAAGCAACTTCAGTAGGAAACCAGCCGAAAAGCTCTTAGCCTTTAAAAAGACCTTAAAGGACCCTTATCCAAACACCAGCAAAAGCAGCCTACCTAACGCCAGCATGGGCCAGCCATGAAAAGTCAGGCTTAATCAAGAACAGTCTTCAAGATCATAAAAGCTCCAGTTACACACACACACACACCCCAAAGCCAGAGATATTTATCAATCATAAACTGAAGGAGGCCATTTCTTAAATAATAAAGCGAATCATCGAGATTTTTTCACCAGTGTTGACTCTCGCCATTCACTTAGCGATAGGGCGTGTTCTGCTCAGTGGATTCAGTGTGCTTTCACTGTGTGTGTGTGATTCATAGCAGCAACCAAATGAGAGCTGCAATGAGGTTCAAAGAGTAGAAGGCAGTTTCTGCGCCAACAGCTGCTAGAGCCCTATGACAGGGACAAGAACTGGTTCTCATGCCCACTGATCCCTTCCCTACCTTCTACTGGGTATCTAATCACCCTCCCGTTTCAAATTTTAAATGTCAGCTACTTAACCTCCCCAATTATTTTATTTTCCTTCTCCTTAAAGAAAAAAAAAAGTCTTGGAAAAGGATTGAATTTTCAGCATTTCCAATTTTACTATAAACTGGTTAGGCAAACTCCAAAATAAGTCCTAACAACAGTCCGTGTTATGTTATCCACAACACAGAGAGCTGTGAAATGTTTTGCAGAACAGTGAAGATAATTCAGCTTGTTCCCAAATGACCGGTAACTTTAAGACCTTTAGGACAGGTAGCAAGTGACTGGTATGGCTTTAGCAAAGCCAGGAGAGCTAATTTTCCCATTTTTTTTTTTTTTTGGTATTTTTTTTTTTTTCGAGACAGGGTTTCTCTGTGGCTTTGGAGCCATCGTCCGGCTAATTTTCCCATCTTAAAATGATATTCAAACCTATTGATCTCCGTTTCTGCTTTGGTCCTTCCCTTATGAAGCTGGAGTTTGGCTAACATATTGTTGGTAACAGTCCGGTGTCATTTCAGCTTTTAAACTTAAAACAAAAATCATTTTTAAAAAATCGTTCATTCTCTAAATTCCTTTCACACAGAAAAATGAAGCACGAACTTGACAAGCTCGGTTATGGGGAAATTCCATGGACCTTTTACAATATGACACAGCCTTTCCCCTTCTGCGTAACTGCTGTCAAGCTGGCTCCCGACACTTAGGACAATGCTGAAAGTTGGAAGCACAGAAGTACCAGATCTAAGTGACTGGCGGACTGGAAAAGTGAGCGGGCTCGGATGCTCTAACCTTAGCACCCCGAATGAGCGGGCGAGGCACGTAAGCTAGAGTATGGCCAGTTCAGCCCAAGATGCGTGAGCCACCCGCCCGGGGGCGAGCCAGCCGGCGATCGGCCGAAACCCCAAAGTAAAAAGCAGCCCCGATCTTGCCCAAGAGAGTGGAGCTCCCTGGGCTGCCACCGTCCGTCGACTCCCCAAGCACCTCCGCCAAGGCGCCTGCGCCGTCCTCACGGCCTCCGCACCCCCAAACTGCCGGCCCGCAGCTGAGGCCCCGCACGCCTAAACTGCCCGCCCGCCTCCGCCGGATGGACCCCGGCGGCCGCGAGGATCTCCGCCGGCTACCTTGGTCGTCCGGATGTGCTCCATCACGGGGCGACGCCCGCAGGCAGCTGGCTTCAGGAGCGCACCATCGGGAGAGAAACGGGGCGGTGACAGCCACCGGCAGGAACTCCCTCAACCCGCCAGCGTCAGCCAGCCCGCCGGCGGCGACCACTGCGCAGGCGTCGTCCGCGAGCGCTGTCGCCTAGAAACACTTCCGCAAACCCCAACCACCGAGGGGATCCTGGCTGCGAGCAGAGCGTCTCCAACCGAGATGGGCGCTGGCAGGGTCGCACCCGTGGCAGATTATACAGCGCCCTCCCTGGTGGAGGACTGACATTGCCAAGGCCGACCCTTGTTCCAGTCAAAGACCAACAAAAGCTGGGTCCCTAAGAGGCTAGAAGACATTTCTAGGTTTGAAGATCAGTCCGAAAGGAATTGGCCAGTGAGGGAGAGACTGGATGTTTCTAAACTCCATTACCATTCCAGTTTAAATCGCATTTAGAAACCCACGGGGCACTGGGCTGGTGTAATGAACTATTAAAATCCTATTATGATTATTAGTATTAAATCTGAGTACATTTTATTTGATCTCTGTTGCCAAGAGTTAGGATATAACGCTTAGAGGTTTGTAGGCACGTCTGTGCTTTGACTTAAGATGCTACATGAATGCCTTTTTTTTTTTTTATTTGAAAGACATTTTTTTTTTCAGGGCTGGAGAGATGGTTTATCAGTTAAGTTTGTATTGGAAACTTTCCTGAGGTTTTGTTTTCCCATAAATAAGCAAAGGTAGCTGGGGATAAACAGTTTAACTTCCTAATAGTTGTAGACCCTTGCTCCTCTGGCTGCCTTCTGCAAAAGACTCTTCAATTAAACCAATGCTTTTAAAACTGTGCCAAAGCAACACAGAGAAACCCTGTCTGGAAAAAAAAAAACTGTGCATGGGTGGGGGTTAGCTGACCAAAACTTAATTAAAAACCAAATATGCAGCCAATCGGAAGGATACAACTGTTTCTGGCATTACTTTTCTTTGTGGACTTCGTTCATGCCAGTAACCACGGGTGCAGTGCCCCTGCTCAGATTTCATCTCTATATGTTAGGAACTGAAGTGTTTTCACCGTTCGTACAAAATGTTCTGCTCTTACAGAAACAGTGATTTAACTACAGAAAGCAAAAACTATCATATTTTCCTGTTATCATTCTTTAGTGCTGTCAAATTAGTGTATATTTGGTTTGAGCTGTGTTAGAAAAACATACCCATCTCGCTTTTAGTCCTTAATAAGTAGTTACAACAAATGTATCCAAAAGAATTGTTTTAAGAAACAATTTATGCTCGGGTGTATTGGGGCATGCCTTTAATCCCAGCGCTCCAAAGGCAGAAGCAGGTGATTCTCTTTAAGTCTCAGGCCACCCTGACCCACACAGTGAGACTGTAAAGAACAAACAAAAATATGTTCAGCAAATGTCTGATTTGTACACACACACCCCCACGCCGTTAACACTGCCATTTTCTATGCAGACTTTTTAAAAGTCACTAGCACATCATTGGGCAAATGTCCAGATGCTGAATTCAGCGTTATCTTTTCTTCTCCTCTCCCGTTCTTCATTTCACCATCGTCATCGTCATCTCCCTTTAAAATGCATTGTTTGCTATGTGGACATTGATAGTGCAGTAAGTCAGCGCTGCTGCAGGCGGCATCCTCAGAGCTTAAGAGCTAACATCTTCATCAGGGCAGCTGTGATGCTTGCACACTCAGGCCTGTTGACAAGCCCTCGACGGAGGAAGGAGCAAGGAGGGTCATGGGGCCATGAGGTTCCAGCCAGTCCCTCCAGAACCTCCTATTGACATTTGTTGTATGTTTCTGCCCTAATTGCACATTGTCTCAAGTCTCCAGACATGCTGGAGTACGTAGTGTGAGAAGGTTCACTGACAGAGGGACTTCATCTGTGCAGCTGGAGAAGTAGGAGGCGAGAGCTGCTGGGAACATGAGAAGCAGCATTGGGGTCGCCCATGCTCTGTAAGTAATTCGCTCACTGGTTTGTCAGGTTAGACTTTGGTGGAATCACACTCGGGGTTTGTTGGTGGTGTCCTGCAAGGAAGAGGCAGACATTTGTTGAAGTCTCCTCAGAGAAAGAGTTCCTCAAACAGTTAAAAATAAATTAAATGGAGCCAGAAAGGTAGCTCAGCAATTAAGAGAACTGGTTGCTCTTCCAGAGGACCCTGGTTCAATTCCCAAAACCCACATGGCAGCTCACAACCATCTCTCACTCCAGTTCCTAGGGATCTAATACCCTCTTCTGACCCTCACAGGCATGTGGGGTACACACATACATGCAGGCAAAATACCCGCATACATAAATGTATAACATTTTTTTTTTGAGACAGGGTTTCTCTGTGGCTTTGGAGCTAAGAGGCCCTATTTCTAGGCTCATCCCAGAACTGTGACAACTACACAGCTTTGCATGCCAGTACCTGAAGCCTGCATGGAAACTTAACTCTTAGTGGCTCCTGCCTGCGGAGGCTTTCACCAAGTTGTCCTCAGCTATCAGACGCTGAGGGCTACACAGACTGTCAGAAGACCAGCTTGTTCCTGCTCACTCCAAGATTTCTGTACAGGTCTGTGGTGAAATAACCTTTTTGTACACTGTGAAGATGTGTCTTTGCCAAGGTGCCTTCTGATTGATTTAATAAAGAGCTGAATGGTCAAAAGGGCAGGAGGTTAGGTGGTACGTCCAGGCAGAGGGCAGAGAGAGAGAGAGAGAGAGAGAGAGAGAGAGAGAGAGAGAGAACACATCTAGGCAGAAGAGAGCCAGCAGAGGGCATGGAGAGGAACCAGGAAATGCAAAAGAGGTAAAAAGACATGAGGCAAAATGTAAATTAATATAAATGGGTTAATTTAAGTTATAAGAACTAACAGAACAAGCCTAAGTCATAGGCCAAGCTTTCATAATTAATAAGTCTCCATGTCTTTTTGTGAGTTGGCAGCCCAGAGAAAAATCCATCTGCACAGATCAATTTAAAGGACCCAGCCAGTTGGTCTGAAACACTTGCATTTCAGTTTGAGAAGCAATTCTACTACCCCCTAGGATTTACTTCAAAGAAATAAGACACTGTAGTTTTATTTGAAACAAATTCCTCATTTCCTCGTAACTGCAGTACATTCATTCAAACGTTAGGGTAGACACCCATTAAAACTGACCCTGGGGAGGAGGACTGTAGAGGAGGGAGAGGGGGATGTAAGGGGGAGTGGGGGAGTGGGGGGTGGGCTAGGGCTGGAGAGGTGATTGGTGGCTTAGCAGTTAAAAGCACTAGCCGCTGTAAAGCAGAACTCAGCTTTCAGCACCCACATCAAAGTCAGATGTGGTAAACCAAAAGCTGAGGGCAGATGAAGACGGGATGGCCAAGGTCTGCTGACCGCCAGCCTCACGGACAAACACCACCTTCAAGTCCAGTGATAAATCTTACCTCAGAGGAACGAGGTAAGAGTGATAGAGGTGGTCACCTGATGCCTGCCTCTGGCCTCCGTGTATGCCCCTCCTCCACACACACCTCATACACATAAACTAACTCAAACGGTGATGATGTATTTCTCCAGGAACAAAAAGCTAGCCACAGTACAGCAAATTCAACGAGACCATAAAATAGTTTGTAGGGGTTGCAAGCAGAGCCACGGGCAATTTTTGTAACTCCTCTGACATCATTTAGGAGCGTTTTCTTTCCATGGGACGTAAAATCTGAAGATGTTTTTGTTGTCTTGGCTGGGGAGGTTGGCATAATACCACTGACATCTAGTGGATCCAAGCCAGCTGCAGTGTGCCAGAGAAGCCCACACAACAAAGTCCTCCTTCCCACCCTAGAGGGCACCAGTGGAGAGGTGGAGAAGGCTGCTCCATGCCCTTCAAGACTTCTAACTCAGCAGATTCACATTCGTAGGTAGAAAGTGGTACTTTTAGGTGGCTCAATGTGGAAAGCACTTGCAACAAAAATTTGATAATCTGAGTTCAATCCCCAGAACCCCAGAATCCCCATGTTCTGCAGCACAATTGTGACACACACACACACACACACACACACACACACACACACACAGCTCTGCAAAGAATGGAAATGAGGAGAGTACAGAAAGGCAAATTCCACTGCATAACACATAGCAAGATTCCTACAAGGAAACTTTCATGTCGTTTTGATTCAATCTCTTATCTGCTTTTCACCCTCCCCCTCTTACTTCCTGACAGTTCCCATTTTCTCTCTTCCAAATGATCAGGCGGTAATCCTGATGATAGCTAATGTCTGCTGTGATTATAAGGTAACAGGAGGGCTGGAGAGATGGCTCAGCAGTTAAGAGCACTGGCTAACCTTCCAAAGGTCCTAAGTTCAATTCCCAGCAACCACAAGGTGGCTCACAACCATCTGTAATGAGGTCTGGTGCCCTCTTCTGGCCTGCAGGCATATGTGCAGATAAAACACTATATACTACATAATAAATAAACCTTTAAAAAAAATTAGGTGCGGGCCGGGCGATGGTGGCACACGCCTTTAATCCCAGCACTCGGGAGGCAGAGGCAGGCGGATCTCTGTGAGTTCGAGACCAGCCTGGTCTACAGAGCTAGTTCCAGGACAGGCTCCAAAGCCACAGAGAAACCCTGTCTCGAAAAAAAAAAAATTAGGTGACAGAAAGGACACTAAGTACCATTTCAGTGTTATGGGGCAAGTGCTGTCACTTCTCTTATTTCAAAGATGACAAAGCTGAAATACAATGAAGTAAGTTGTCTGATATGACAGAGTAGAAAAAGCCAAGAGTCATGGCAGAAAGCCAGACAGCCTGACTCCAGAGCCTGTGTTCTTATAAAACATTCTATATTGACTTGCTTTTCAAAACCCCTATTAAAGTTCCATCTATTGGTAATATGAGAGGCCAGAAAAATCATTCTGCTTAAAACAAAGCTCAAGTAATGGAAAACAGAAACTCAAATTCCATGAAGCACTGAGTAACTGGTAAGATAGTTAGAACGTGTATATAGACATCTGAAGGGATGTGTGAGTCCTCAGAGGCCAGCAGGACACTGACGCTGATGCCGCAGGAAGACCAATTCAGTCAGGCCAGTTGACTGTTTCGATACCCTCCCAGCACGCCCAGTTAAAAGCCCGAGTGCAGGGCCCAATTTAGGCGGGAATCTAATAGTCAGAGAG